GGGTACTGATGTCACAGTAAGGGTATAAAATTGCTAAGCCTGTTTTCTGTTTTCTTCAAACTCATTTGATAATCCCTTCATGGTAGGAGCTCTCCACATTTATTTTTAGAAAAAGGAGGCATTGACCCTGGTGCATTTGGGATTTGAGTCAAGCTGCTCTTGAAATGTTGAAAAGCAGGTCAAAAGGGCAGTTTGCTGTGGTCACTATAAGCAACTGCCAAAATTCTTCAGGAGATTGAAGGACTCCAGTACTAGTGAAGCCTGCTTAAATTACCTCCAGCAAAACAAGCTAAAGAAAGCATTCATACCTGCCCATTTTAAAGCGGTACTCCCATCTGGTTATATTAACATTACTAAACTTCCACATGAGAAACACAGGATATTTCTGAAAGTCTATAAACAAATATCCCTGATCTAAGAAAGGAACTGCACAAATCTGTGTTCATTGGACCCCAAGAAGTTCAAATGATAGGAAAGCTTTCACAATGTATTTCTGTAAGGTAGATCCCAATATTTTCTCCATCAGCAAGCACTCTGCCTGGGAAGTTGAGAAAGAATGAATATGTACTCTCTCCCAAAGGAAAAACCCAAAACACTTGGCAGCCACAACAATTCTGAGTGAGAAAGGAAGGCCCAGTGGACTTCCCCTAGGTTGGATATGGAAAAGTATTCATTATTGTAATACTGTAGATTACCTATAAACTGTTCAGTTCACGTGGACACAAGCCAGAGATCATACCCTTTAGACTTCCTTGGAAATGTTTCCCTCCTGTTCTGTGCTATCGGACCAGAACCCTCTTCTTACTACTTCACCATGGTTCCAGTGGAGGGAGATGTGTGTGATGGTGGCCTGTAGAGACTGATGCTCAACATGTGTAACTCAAGTTCTAGTGATACTGGTGGGAAAATAGGCAATGATCATGGGTGATGGCTACATGTGTAATAATACCCTGTTGCCCTGAAAATAAAACAGTGTCTTATATTAAATTTGCTCCCAAAGAGGCGCTAGGTCTTATTTTCAGGGGATTTCTTATTTTTCCAGGAAGAAGAATACGGTACACATTTATTGTTTATTGTTTTGTTAAAAGAGACCTCACACTTCCTGTCTGCTCTGGCTGCGCTGAGGCCAACAGT